TTTGATGATGCTAATGATGATGCTGGTGCTGCAGATGATGATGCTGATGCTGCTGTTGCTGTTGCTGATGCTGATAGTGCTGATGGATCTGATTATGCTGATGATGATGCTGATGCTGCTGATCATGCTGATGCTGATGCTGATGATGATGCTGCCGATGCGGATCATGCTGAAGGATGATGAAGCTGATGATGCTGCTGATGATGACGATGCTGCTGATGCTGATGCTGATGCTGCTGCTGATGATGATGCTGATGATGCGGATGGTGCTGCTGCTGCTGCTGATGATGCTTATGATACTACTGATGCTGGTTATGATGCTGCTGATGATGCTGATGATTATGATGCTGATGCTGCTGATGATCATGATGATGATGCTGATGATGATGATGTTGATGATGATGATGATGGTGATGATGATGGTGATGATGACCATGATGCTGATGATGATGATGGTGATGATGATGACGATGAAGATGACGATGGCGATGACGGTGATGATGACAATGCTGATGGTGATGAGAACGTGCGGAGGGCATGGGCAAGGGTTGGAGGAGTGTGGGAGGAGGAGGAGGAGGAGGAGGAGGAGGAGGAGGAGGAGGAGGAGGAGGAGGAGAAGGACAAGCTAGGTGCGCTCGCGTCATATCTGACATCCTACCCTTCCCTCCCATCCCTTACCATGGCGCAGATCCCCTCTCTACTCGCACCGTCGGATGTCGAGCAGGGCAATGATCCCGAAAGGGTACGCGATGCATTGTAGAGCACGGCATGGCATGGCGTAGAAGAGCACCGCAAAGCGTAGTATCAACCTAGCATTGCATTGCACGCCGTGGCATGGCACGGGAAATGACGCCAGCGCTGCAGCGGGAGCACGAGTCGAAACAAGTGGAAGCGCGGAAATGAGGCCAGCGCTGCAGCGGGAGCACGATTCGGAACGAGCGGAAACGCGGAAATGAGGCCAGCGCTGCAGCGGGAACACGATTCGGAACGAGCGGGGCCCGAAAATGAGGCCGGCGCCTCAGCGAGAGCAGCATTTTGAAAAAACATGCAAGCGAAACCCAACTCCCGGGAAACCTGTGTGTAAAAAAAACAGGACGCGGGGGGGGTGCGAACTCTCCCAGCACGTCATCAGGGGAAGAGGGAGAGTAGTATTCATATTGAGTAATTGTGGAGGAGGAGGAGGAGGAAAAAGAAGAAGAAGAATAAGCATAACAATAATAATATGAATAATAATAACAATACTAATAATATACTAATAATACTAATACTAATAACAATAATAATAAGACTAAGAATAAGAGTAATAATACTAATCATAATAATGATAAGAATAATACTAATAAAAATAACAAGAAGAATAATACGAATAAGACTAATAATAATACTAATAATAATACTAAGATTAATAATAATACTAGTAATCATACTAATAACAATAGGAGGAGGAGGAGGAGGAGGAGGAGGAGGAGGAGGAGGAGGAGGAGGAGGAGGAGGAGGAGGAGGAGGAGGAGGAGGAGGAGGAGTAGGCGGAAGATGAGGAGAAGGAGGAGGAGGAAGGAACACGGAGGACGCGGGGCGCTGTCTTTTCAACGGGTTGAAGCAACTCAAGACGAGATAGTTGGCTTCATGACGCCCGTTATCGCTGTGAGTGAATTTCGTCGGGCGAAGGACCCAACCATATGCAGTTGTAAATACCTCCGTTGTGAGAACCGCCTTCATTGGAGATCCCCACGGGGCCACGAAACGCGTGAAGGGAGCGCCGAACTGGGACGGAGCCGCTCTGCAGGCGCTGCCGCTGGTGCCGCCCGCAGGGGGTGCGGAGGTCGGACGAACAGGGTTACATGCCGATGTAGCCCGTTGCGGCTGACAGGCGCCGGACAGGCAGGAGAAGACATGCGGGCGCAGCCGCCGGGGCCTTCGGTGGGGCTCCCCATGGGGCTATGAAACGTGTGAGGGGTGTGCCAAAGTGAGGGGGGAGGCGGCATGCGAGCGTAGCCATTGGGGCCTTCGGTGGGGCCCCCCATGGGGCCGCGAAGCGTATGATGGGTGTGCCAGAGTAAAGGGGGGGGCATCCGAACGCAGCCACTGGGGCCTTCGGTGGAGCTCCCCATGGGGTCATTGGTTGGTCTTGTGGACCAGTGGTCGACGAGAAGACGCGAGCTTGGCATCTGCATGAATCCTCATGGCTCAATGCCGTGACGTGGGTATGGGAGGATGGGGATGCCAGGGCGTGGGCGGGGGCGTCGGTCGGGTTCGGGCCAGGGGTTGTCGAGTGGGGGATCCCAAGAACCAGAGGGCCAGGAGGTGGGGGTGTCGGGGCGTGGACAGGGGCGTCGGTCGGTTCGGGCAAGGTCGGAGTGGGGTTCCCAAGAACCTCAAGGACCAGGGGGGTGGGCCGTGAGTCGGTTTCGGGGTATGGATTTGTCGAGTGGGAAGTCCCAGCATCCAGAAGACCAGGGGGTAGGGATGCTGCGGCGTGGGGGGCGTGGAGGGGGCGTCGGTCGGTTTCTGTCCAGGAATTGTCGAGTGGGGAGTCCCAAGAACATGGACGACAAAATCGAGTGTGACGACATGGATACCCAGACACTTTGAACCAACGGGTGATTGGGACACCATCGGTCCTGAGTATGTTGCACACCAAGCATAAGACATGAGCGGGCTGCGAAACCTGAGTAGTATTCTGGCGCCCTGGTGCCGCACGCGCAGCACCCTGGATGGTGCACTTTCGCGGGAGTGAGTCAGTGAGTGAGCGAGAGGAGTTCAAGGAACCAGAGGGCGAGCATGTGGGGATGCCTGGGCGTTGGGGGGTGAGTGGGCGTCGGTCGTTTTCGGGCGTACAAAGAAGCAGGAGACCAGGGAATAGGGGGGCCGGGGCGTGGAGGGGGCGTCGGTCGATCTCGGACCAGGAATTGTCGAGTGGGTGCTAGCAAGACAAGAACAAGAGGACCAGGCGGTGGGGATGATGGGGCGTGGAGATGGGAGTCAGCTGGTTTTGAAACAGGTCGAGTGGAGTGTCCCAAAAACCAGATGACCAGGTGGTGGGGATGCCCGGGCGGGGGGGGGGGGCGTGCCAGGGCAGGGGGGGGGGGCGGAGGGCGTCGGTCGGATGCGGGCCAGGAATTGTCGACTTGGTTCTCCCAAGATGAAGATGACCAGGCGGTAGGGATGATGGGGCGTGGGGGGGGGGTCTCGTCGGTTTCGGGCCAGGAGCTGTCGAGTGGGGGGTCTCAAGAACCAGAGGACCAGGGGATGCCGAGGCGTGGAGGGGGACGTCGGTCGGTCTCGGGCCAGGGATTGTTGAGTGGGGGGGGTCCCAAGAACCAAGGGGCCAGGGGGTGGGGATGATGAGGCGTGGGGTGAGGAGGGGGGGGCGTCGGTCGGTTTCTGGCCAGGCATTGTCGAGTAGGGGGACCCCCAAAACCAGAGGGCCAGGGGTTGGGGATGCCGGTGCGTGAGTGGGTGTCGGTCGGCTTCGGGCCAGGAATTGTCGAGTGGGAGGTCCCAAGAACCAGAGGGCCAGGGGGTTGGGGCTAAGGCGTTTGGGCGGGCGTCGGTCGGTGTCGGGCCACAAATTGTCGAGTGGGGGTCCAAAGACCCAGAAGACAACGGGAATGGCATGCCGAAGCGCGATGGAGGGTCAGGGCGGGTGCGCAGTGTCGGTTCCAGGCCAGGAGTTGTCGGGGAGGTGGCCCCAAGAACAGAACTCCAAACGGTACGGGTGCCGATGCGCGTCGGGGGTCGGGGTAGGGCCCAGGGTTGGGTTCAGGCTTCGAGTGGGGGGTCCGGAGAGCAGACTTCGAGAGGGTTGGGACGCCGAGGCGCTGTGAGGCGTCAGAGAGTTGGGGAAGGGCGTGGGTGTTGGACGTGGCGGGTGGCGCTGGTTGATCCTGGGCGAGAGGTGTCGGGTGGGGAGGGCCAAGACTAGCTCCGTGAGTGGATATGGGAAGTCTACTCCCACACGCCTTTGGGGGCGGTAGATCAATCCATACATACACAGATAAAGCAATATGTATATGTGTACATGTGCGTGTATATATATATATATATATATGTGTATATATATATATATATATATATATATATACGTAGATGTATAGCTACTTGTGTTTACATATACACACATATATATACACATATTTGTATACATCCCTTTATACATACACACCTACTTTTGATTCTGCCTATCCAGAGAAGGCGGGCTGGACATGATTCCGAACGGTATCGGAAATCAGAGGGACATTTTACCTTCAGGGGTCTCCCGTGCGCCTGCGGGGACCTTCGGAGTTGCCTTGCAAGCTTGCTGGGCCCCCCTCATTTTTGGTTTCTCTTGGACTAATTTGGGCGCCGTGTGGGGGGGCGCTATTGGGACCGTCAGCCGCTGGCGATTACCTTGCACCTTCGTGTGCGTCTTTGGGGCCCCTTATGGACTTCTGGGCTCTCCGCATCATCCTGAATGCCTCCTCGGCCGCCCTTACGGCCTCTGGGCTCCCCTGGGCCGTCCTCACAGCATCCCGCCGTTCACGGGACCTTCACGGGCCCGCCCGACTGGCGCAGGCCCCCCGCCCCGCTCCCGGCATAGGACACCACAGTGGTCCGCGCCCTTTTCCCAAATCGTGAAAGTTCCCTTATTGGGGGATATTCCCTCCTGCAAGCAAGCAAACGTGACCTGCTCGTCCAAGGTGCGTGGGCAGGAAAAGGTGGCAAGGCGGGGTTGCCGTTCAGGGAAGCGCTCCACGCAGCAAATTCTGTACGTTCAGAGACCAGAAGGAGAAGGAGGAGGAGGAGGAGGAGGAGGAGGCGGAAGAGGAGGAGGAGGAGGAGGCTGAGGAGGAGGAGGAGGAGGAGGAGGAGGAGGAGGAGAACCAGGAGGAGGAGGAGGAGGAAGATGAGGGGAGGGTCTGAATTTGCCGGAACCCAGTGGCCGACGAAATCAGAGGTCCATCTTGTGTCTACGTGCAGTTGGTCAGTTGTCATACGCCCCCGTCGGGCACCACGCTCAGGCGTCGAGTCCTTCGACGGGCGTCACTGGGCCGCGGAGGGGCGCGTCGACAGCTTTGAGAGAAGGCTGGAGGAGGGAACGGGAGGTGGCCGAGCAACCTGGATCGGCCGTCTGAGCTCAGAGGAGGGAAAGATACCGAGACCGCTGCTCGTCCGGGAGAGCACCCGTCGCCACCGCCAAGTTCTCCTCGAAAATTTGGCCAGAACGAATCGGGGACAGGTCTCCACAGCGCCAGACGGACAAAGGGCTGCATACTGTGTGATTCTGGCATGGGCCCCAATCAGAGGAAGCCAGGAAGCGCGAAGTACTGCAAGGCAGTGCAGATCAGTGCAAGCGGTCCAGAGCAATGTTTCGTAAATTACCGCAGTGCATAGCGATGCAAAGCAGAGCACGCAGTATTGCCAAGCAGTGGAAGCGTGTCTTTAGCAGTCGCTTTTGGGGGGGTCGAACGCGATCGTTTTTAGAAGGGCTCGGGGGCGGGTTTGAACCCGAGGAGGGGGCCGGTGCAGCGGGGGCTACTCGTTTCCGGGACGAGGCCCTGTCTTCGCCCTCCCCTCGGTGCAGGAGTGGGGGTTGCAGGGGTTGCCCGAGTTCGAAGCCTGAGAGGGGGGGGACCTGCTTACCTCGACTCCCGCCTGCCTGCCGCCGATGACACGAGGAGGAGCAGGATCAGGAGCAGTGCCAACCCGAGACGCATCAATTGGAATACATTCTCCCTCAAATTTTTCTCCATAGGTCACTACGGAAAATCATTCTCTCTCCCGGAAGTGCCCCGTTGGAGGTCAGCCGTCTGAGAATCTTCAATCGTGCCAACACATTACTCTTTGGACTTCAACGCCGAAACATCTTCACTATTCATCCTGACGATCCTGCATCCTACCATCAAACCATTCCTGGGACTTCAGCACCGCGAGTCAACGTGACTGGTGCGCCCTGGCAATCCGAGATCGTGCTGGAACACCGTTTCCGAGACGTCAACCATAAAAACACTGAACAGTTGTAGACTTAGAAAACGAATGTGCGCGGAGCGTAGGCGTAATTAGGCTAGATACACATTGTGAAATGAGTTCGACGGAAGGACCCGGCATGTTAATATGTTAAGTTTGCCTGGCGATATGATTTTGCCCATTCCTCCTTCACCCTCCTGCCTTCTCCTTCTCCTCTTGCCCTCCTCCTGCTGCCTCCTCCTCTTTCTGCCTCTTCCTCCTCCTCCGCATGCCGCCTCCTGCCTCCTGCCTCCTACCTCCTACCTCCTACCTCCTGCCTCCTGTTGTCCTTTTCTGCCTGCTGCTACTCCTGCTGCTGCTGCTGCTCCTCCTCCTCCTCCTCTATCATTTCCGCCATGCCCGCCATTTTCTCCTCCTCCTCCTCCTCCTGCTCCACCTCATCCTGCCTCCTCTTTTTGCTCCTTCTCCTCCTTGTCCTCCTACTCCTGGCTCCTCCTTCTCCACCTCCTCATCCTCTCTCCCTCTCCCTCTGGCCTCCTGTGACACACTTGAAAGTACCTGGCTTAGTGTTCTACCCCCAGAATCTTGACATCATCAGCTCGCGATCAGATCACCTGCGAGCTCACAGAAGACAACCACCAGCTCAGGAGGCTCAGTTGGCCGAATCTCCACATGCAACCACTTGCCATTGTACAGCACCTTGCCTCGGCCTAGCCCTGCAAGCACCCTCTTGCCCGAGGCGATGGGCCTGGGAGCACTCTCGAGACAGCTTTCATTCTGGGCAGCGGCGAGAGCACCACACTTGGCACAGACCATGCCGTTGACCGACTTGTGACAAGCCGCCAACCTCCCCAGCTTGTGCTGCGCAGTCACAACATGCATACGCTCATGCATACGATTGGCGCGGACAGGCAGGGGGGGAGGGAAAGGGGAGGCGGTGTAGGGTGGGCGGCAGCGGCGGCAGCGGCGGCAACAGCAGTAGCCTCTGGCGCCTCCGCGCACGACGGGGGCGCGCCTCCTGTCGTCGCCGACGAGCTCGCAGAAGCTCGTGACGAGCAATGCGCTCAGTGTCGAGCGCCGCCAGGGAGGCCCCCGCCCTTCCAACCTGCTCACCCACCGCCCTCCCCAGGTAACAAGCACGGGCGAAGCGCAGGCGAACAGCGACATCGGCACGACGCTGCTTCGCGCTCCGCTTGGCACAGAAATCAGCATAGACACTGCCAGCGACAACTTCGCTGGCATCTTCTCTGCTCTGGGGTGGAGTGGGCCTGGATCCTCACGAGACCGACTGGGGTCCCAGCCCAACCCAGTCCTCGACACACTCCCAGGCTCCAGACCACACATCGGTGTGAGCACTGGAAGGCTGGCAGTAACTTTCCTTGCCCCTGCGAGTGAACCAGAGAAACCGACATCGCTATCCGTGTGGATAACAATTGGTGTCAGGGCTTTCTGGAGTGTTCGAAGCACCGCCGTCAACCCAGCTCGGTCAATGCACTGGAATGGCCCTTCAACCCCTCCTCCAAACACCACCGCGACGGACACGTCCCTCATCGTACCGGGGGAGGTGGGGAGGAGTGCAACGCCCTAATAACCCCTTCAGTCGTGCAACCATGTAGTACCTCGTGGCCATATCGGGACCCGCCGACACAAATCTCCAGTGAGCTGCTCACAGTTGCCGACGTGAAGCTGCTCAGGCGTAGGCGGGGGCAAGGCATGATGGCGATCAAACGGACCGCTGCCGCCCCCCAGCTCCCTGCGTGAACCCTGGTCCGAGCTGATGCGGGAGCGAGTTCGCCCACTTGACCCATGCCAGGAGGAGGCACTCCTTTTTGGAGGAGCACGTAACACAGCGAGGGGGCCACGAAGGGCTGCAACGGGGCCACGAAAGGGCAGCGAGATCCCGATTCCTAGGTAATATGTGAAAGAGTCCTGAGCGTGAGCGCGACTCCTGGGTGCCTGGGTGTCGGGAGCGCGGCGCTTGAGTAAATTGCAGGAAAGTTCCAACGCAAAGGGGCCAATGGTTCAGTAAATTGCAAGCAAGTCTCCAGCGAGAGCGCGACTCCAGAGCGCCGGGGGAGCGATTCCTGAATACATTGTAAGGAAGTCCCAAGCGAGAGCGCGATTCCTGAATACGATGCGAGGAAGTCTCGGGCGGGAGCGGGTCCTGGCTAAACTGTGAGGAAGTTTCAGGCGGCAGCCGTTGTTGTTGTAACCCGGGGGCCAGGGGCCCAGTTTGAGCTTGAACATTTTCCCTGAAAAAGCAGGGAGCGAGCGTTGAGGGGCACACTTTGATTGAGAAAAAGTATGCACCGGTGGGGAGGATCAACACAACTTATTCTTCAGAAATGAGAGTTCAACAACAACAACAACAACAACCACAACAACAACAACAACAACAACAACAGCGGCAACAACAACAACAATTGCAACAACAACAACATCAACAACAGCAGCAACAACACCACCACCAACAACAACAACAACGCCACCAACAACAACACCATCAACACCAACAACAACGCAACAAGCTGACATTTCACCACGAATTCCCTTTTTCAGCCACGCACCCAGGGACACTGAATGACCGCTCGGCCCCCTCACTCTGATAAGCCTGAGTGTGGCTTGGGGAGCAGGGCCCGCGCCTGGGCAAGCCAAGGCTCCGGATGGCGCTGAACGGGATCGAGAGGTTGCAGGACCCCTGGGCACGGACGTCGGCTGTCACCGTCAGGGTGCCCGAGAGCATCAGGAAAAGGGTTGAAGTTGGAGGTGGGTTCGGAGGACGCCGTGCTCCACTACCTGATCATCGCGTTTTTTCCGGATGCGAATCGGAGAATATGCTTGCGCGGGCAATGGGACCACAGGAGAGTGCTTACCAGCCAGGACGTGGAGGCGAAGGCGAAGGGTGGACAAGTGCCGTATTTCGCCCAGGCCGACGAGGTGGCCCTGTGGGTCAAGGCGAGCAAGACGGATCAGGTTGGCGCCGGGGTGGCCAGTGACCAATGCCAGGCTGGAGGCGAACTCTCTCTTCGGCGTGGGAGGCTGAGCAGTGCTGGGGGCGTTTCCAGCGATGATGGGGGGTGGCCAGGGGCTCACCTCCTGTTGGCGCGGTGGTCGAACAGCAGCCTGGTCGCGAGGCAGAGGATCCAGGAGGAGGTGCAGAGGGCGGCAGTGCCTAAGGGTACCCTGCGTCGCAGTTCGGTCCCCGTTCGTTGAGGATCGGATGGGCCACGGCGTTGTACCACCATTACGGGGACATTGAAGTGGTGAAAAGGTGGGGAAGGTGGAATAGCGGTGCATTCCACCAGTGCTAGTGGGAGACCAACGAGACGGCCCGAGGAGCGTCGACGGCGATGGCAGCGTCGGTGTTTACCCTACTCGTGGGCTACGGCGCGACACCGCGAGGGAGGGGGCCGCAAGAGGGGCGGGCCCCGCATGAGGCTGATGACCCCAGGAACGGTGAGGCGCGAGGGGCTGTGGCCATCCGGCACGCTGGGAGTCCGGCTGGCGCGAGGCGCGAGGCGCCAGGCAGTCGATGTTTGGCTGGACATGTGCGCCGGCGCCACTGCTGGCGAGGAGGTGGAGAGACGGCGAAAATCATTTTGGCCCGAGGTGCGGGCCCGAGAGGAGCTAGCAGGCATCGCGGCCTCGGGCCGAGGCCGCGAGGTGCAGCCTCGGAAGTTGGGCGGGCGAAGGCCCGGGCGAGGAGGCAGGCTACGCGGAGACTTTGGCAGCCCCCCACCACCTCCCTCCTCCCTCCTCCGTCCTCCTCCCTCCTCCTCCTCCTCCTCCTCCTCCTCCTCCTCCTCCTCCTCCTCCTCCTCCTCCTCCTCCTCCTCCCCCAGCTTTATAATGTTCCGCCCCCCCGTCCCGTCCGTTAGGGTCCAGTCGACCGCTTGCACGACAGCTTTGCTCTCCGCTGTGATGCCTCGCAGGACGACCCGGCCGCCAGGGTCCTCCCGTTCGCTTGCATGAGGGGCTCTCCGCATGCTCGAATCTCGGGCCCGCCCGACCCGCCCGTTGGTGTCCGCCCGCCCGATCCTCCTGTTAGGGTCCGCCCGCCCGACGCGCCCGTTGGGATCTGCCTGGCCTGACTTGCCCTATAATGTCCCGTCCGCCCGACCCGTCGCTAAAATCCGCCCGCCCGACCCACTCGTCCGTTCGGGCCCGCCGTCCCTCGTCGTTGTCGTTGTCGTCGTCGTCGTCGTCGCCGTCGTCATTGTCGTCATTGTCTTTGGTCAGCCTGATTTGTTGTCGTCGCCGTTGGTCGTCGGCGTCATGGTCGAAGTCGTTGTCGTCATTTTCCGTCGCAGTCGTTGTCGTTTGCTGGCGGTCTTAGAGGGGCCCAGTTTCGGGACCAGGGGCACCCCCCGATACGGCACCCCCCCGGTTCCAGAACCGGTTCCCCGCCCCCTTGCACCGGATCGTTCCAGCCGTCACAGTTGTATTTGATCACCTCCTGACTAGTGCCGCGCATGTCGAACAAGCGAGAGTCGTAGGTGGTGTTGATGGGCAGTGTCGCCAGCCACCACGGGGTCTAGATGCCGATGGTTGTCCATGCAAATCACACGGGTTTGCGCGGTGACGGAATCCGTGATAGAGAGCAGGTCCCTGAGCCATATGAAAGGTGTTCCTCAGGTCATCCTTCCAGGATTCAACACATATGGTTCCACATAGGGTCTCACTAAGTTGGTACCACGCACGCACACACACACGCACACACACACACTCACACTTACACCCACACACGCACGCACGCACGCACGCAAGCACTCACGCACACGCATACACACAAACAAACATACAGACACACCCGAGCTCGGGGCCCTCACGCTGGCATCGGCTGAGGTGACGCAGGGTTCACTCATAGGGAACCACAGTGAGTGGGGATCTCGCGGGGGGGTGGCATCCGCGATAGGTGACAATTGGGGACGGCTATAAACAGTTCCGACGGGACCCCCCCCACACGCATAGAAACGCAACACACAACACGCACACACACACCACACAACACACACACAACTCGCACAGCACACACAGCATACACAACGCACACACGACACACACAGCACACAGCAAACACAGCACACAACACACGCACTTGCAGCACACACAACACGGACAACACACAACACACAGCACACACAACACAACCAACACACACCCAACACACAACACACAATACAGACAGCACACACACACAACATACACCACACACAGACACAACACACAACACACAGCACACAACACACATATTGGGCCCACACACACGCAGTCATACTCAGTGGTTCCGTTCAATGTTGCACACATCGGGCTGTACACAGTGCTACGCCAACCAATTTTCTGTTGCCCGCGCGCTGGCATACGTATAGTTATGGTTTTCGTCACTTGAACACATTTGTAATAGCTTCTTCCCGGGAGGACATGGGCATCGAGCTTTTGAAGCGGTTCTCGGCTTTGGAGTTGAGGATGACCAGTGTTGAGAGGAGATCCCGTCGATTGTTTTGCCGTTGCTAAGTCTACCCGATTGCCATTGACTAGCGTTCTTGTTTCCGAGCTCCATGCGTACGTGGAGATGCCGCCGCGTCCTTCAGGTCGTAGTCGGGACGCAGTCGGCACTATGTATTGAGACATGCCCAGAAGACCAGTGGGACGCACCAGAAACTGAACGCTCTTGCTATAGCTTGATTTGTCTTTTCATCAGACTTACCAGAACATTCCACTACCGATGCATGCTCGACGCTGCGTTTGTGGAGGCCGCCGTCTTTCCTCTTCTGAGCACTAGCGATCATCCCCGAATTCCAATACCCGAGAGCTGCATGGCTCGCAGAAGGCCCTCCTCCCTCTCGCACTCCTCGGGGTTTTTCTCCTATGGGCACCGTGGGGGAAAAAACGGCACCCCATGTTTCGGGGTTGCGTAGCACACAAGAGCCTTTGCTCTACACTCCTCTTCCTCCTCCTGCGTTTACTGGCTTTGCGGCACATTCAATCGTAGGCGATGTTTCTATCCCCACTCACAACTTCCCGATGAAGAATTAAGCGGCTAAGAAAAGAAGGGACACCTTGTGATGCACCCCCAGGGGGCTATTCGGACGCACCCTTATCGAAGATGGATGCCCCCCCTTGTATATCCCAGGGTTGGGCCCCGAAATATTTGGTCCATTCGAAAACCCCACGAAGCCTGGGACAGAGGTCGACATATCCCCTGCTATTCCAAGCCAGGCGTCGTTGGTTGCGTAATCAGTCGAGTCCTCCATGTGTTCTCGGGTATCGTGCACTGCGCATTGGCGGATCTCGCTCTTTTCAAAGCGGTCGCTGTCGTGAGGCTGTGTGTTCGAGACAGGTGAAAGGTGCGCTTGACGTGCGCATTTGCCCCACGAAGAGGCGGGCGAATGACAGGCCGCGTGCTTCGGAAAGCCAAGGGCTGGGCGCAGGGGCAGCAAAGACCCTGAAAGTCGATCATTGTTAGTGATGTGTCTTTCAATCGCAGCTTGTACTCTCGGATGCCCCCAGGAAGGCCCTAGAGCTTCCCAAGCTCGCTTGCACACGGCTCAGAAGGCTCCTGCAAGCGCGAAGCAGCCCCTGACGGCCCAAGAGGTCCCGAGATGCCCCAAGATGGCCGAAGACGCCCGAAGAGGACCCCGAGCGATACGTGTCAGAAACCGGCGCCCATGCCGACACGACGGGGGTTGGCCGTGCGCCAGGACATCCGTTTGTTTATGTTTTTTACTTTTTCGACACGTGGTCCCTGGGACCAGTTTTACCATTCGGGACCGTTTCTTGACCGTCCTGGATCCTGAAAAAAACGGCTTCTAGGCGCCGGGAACGCCTCGATGTCTTGCTTTCAAGGTTTTGGGTGTCTAGGGCGGATTTTCTTCCGTGCGCAATGCGGACTCCGCGCCCTTTCCAGGCTCTCGTCGAGTCCCTGGCCCCCTGCTGGCAAGGCCGCCCTCAAGGCGCCCTGGCTTCCTTTCGTGCCCTGAGAGAGCCCTGCAGTACCTTGTGGTGCCCTTGATTGTCCCTTGGTGCCCCTTGGTGCTCCTCGGTGCCCCTGACTGCTCCGGAGTGCCCCGTAGTGCCCCTTCGTGCCTTTTAGTGCTCCCTTGTGCCCCTTAGTTGTCCCCTTGGTGCCCCTGGAGCCCCTTGGAGTGCTCAATGACCCTTCGCGCCCCCGGATGCCTCTCAGGGCGCCTTTCGGGCCCCTTGGGGCCCCGCTGGGGTCCATCGGGGCCCCTGAAGGGCCCGTCAAGGGCCCTCTTGCTCCCGTGGCTGCGTCGGCGCTCGGAGTGCTGACCCCCTGCTACACTGCTGCCCCTCCAGCTCTCGCGACATCGTTTGCGATCCGCTCTCGATCCGGTTCCTAGAGACGGGTCTCCTGCGATCAGGCTCGCGATCCAGCTCGCTGGCGATCCGCCGCGATCTGGTTTCGAGCGATATGATTACGGTCATCCGATTCGATTCCTCCCTGCGTTGTCATGCAGATGCGACGGAGAGTGAGTCCCACCGAGCATTGTTTTACGACCAATGCACGCCGCCCCCAAGCTGGGAAGTGGGGAATCGAGCTTGATTATCGCCAGAGTCTTTGATGTCAGCGGCCGTCTCAGTCAAAACATTGGAAAGAGCGCGTTCTGTGGTCGATTGACACCCCCCCCCCTGGATGGGGGGCGAGGGGGGTTCGAATCCCCCCCCCTCCACCCCCCCTCTCCCTTCCTCCCCTGCTTCCCCTCTCCTCGGGCTGGCGCTTGCGTCGGCGGCGGCTGGCGGCGGCGGCGGGGACGACGATTTGTTTTTCTGGGCCGGTGCTGGCGCCTGCAGCGGCGGGCGGCGGCGGCGGGGAGCGTCGACGAGGGCGGCGGTGGTGGTGGTGGGTTGTGGTGGTGGTGGTGGCGGTGGTGGTGGTTGTGGTGGGTGTGGTGCGGTGGCTTGTTGTGGTGGTGGTGGTGGTTGTGGTGGTGTTTTTTTTTTGTGGTGGTGGTGGTGGTGGTTTGGTGGTTGTGTGGTGGTGGTTTGTGGTGGTGGTGGGTTCTTGTGGTGGTGGTGGTTTGGTGGTGGTGTGGTGGTAGTTTGTGGTGGTGGTGATGGGTTGTGGTGGTAGTGCGGTGGTTTGTGGAGGTGGTGCTGGTGGTGGTGGTGGTGGCGGTGGTGGTGGTGGTGGTGGTGTGCTGGTTTGTGTGGTGGTGGTTGTGGCGGTGGTGGTGGTGGTGTGGTAGATTGTAGTGGTGGTTCTAGTGGTGGTGTTTTTTTGTGGTGGTGGTGATGGTGAGTTGTGATGTCGGTGGTGGTGGTGGTGTGGTGGTGGTGGTGGTGGTGGTTTTTGTTGGTGGTGGTGGTGGTTTGTGGTGGTGGCGGTGGTTTGTGGACGTGGTGCTGGTGGTGGTGGTTGTGGTGGTAGTGTGGTGGTTTGTGGTGGTGGCGGTGACTTGTGCTGCTAGTAGTGGTGGTGGTTGTGGCGGTGGTGGTGTGGTAGATTGTGGTGGTGGTGTTGGTGGTAGTGGTGGTGGGTTTTTGTGGTGGTGGTGTTGGTGGTGATGGTGAGTTGTGGTGGTGGTTGTGGTGGTGGTGGCTGTGGTGGAGGTGGTGGTTGTATGGTGGGTTGGTGGTGGTGGTGGGTTGAGCCGGTGGTGGTGGTGGTAGTGGTGGCGGTGGTGGTAGTGGTGGTAATCGTCGCTGCGTCCCCGCCGTCGCCGGCGCCAGCGCTGGCGCTGCTGGCCGCCGCCGGCGCTGGCGCTGGCGCCCGGGGGGGGGTGAAACCCTCCTCCCCTGGCGCCCGGGTGGTGGTGGAGGTTTGAAACCCTTCCCCTCCCCCCCTTGGGCTGCCTCTGCTCATCGTTGCTGCGTCCCTGCCGTGGCGCTGCTGGCGGCCGCCAGCGCCGGCGCCGAGGGGGGGGGCTTATAACCTCCCCCACCTTTGGGAGGGGGGGGGGCTCGGCAGGGGGGGGGATGGGGGGGAGGGGAGTCCCCTTGGTTTTGATCGACGGCGCCGAGTGTTGGGGGGGGGGGCGCACCCCCCGGTTCGAAACGCGCCGCCGAATGTTCCCAAGGCGAGCGCCCGTGAAA